GGGGGGGGGGGGGGGGGGGGGGGGGGGGTGTCACTTGTTGCACGATGTGTGTGTCTTTGGACACACACAGCTAGGTGCAGCCACAGCTGGGTGTGAGCACGTAGGCTAGCTGATGGAGACACCATCACAGGGTGGGGGGGGAGTCTATTAGAAAATGAGCATATGAAGAAAGCATAAAGAAAAAAAATGGAAATGTTAATAATAAAATAACACTTTAAAGAAACCATTGTGAAGCACAACAGAACCCTTTTAAAACAAAGGGATATCTTAATGTTTCATTTCCATTATAAATCCATATTTTAGGTTGGAGGCTAATTCCATTCATAACTTTATTCAGGTTAAAATAGTATTTAAACTTTCAATTGACCTATTTACACAGAGTTTTGCTTTAACAATTTCTTAAAATACTAAAACTGTTTAAATAGATTCTGGGAAATAGCTTTTTAGGCTGGTGACACATGTTGTTTAAAAGTTAAGTTCACTTTTTGCAAAAATTAAATAAATACGTATTTTATAATATAAAAAAATAAATGTCTTTAATTTTTGCATTCAAGCCTGGAAAACATTGCAACCACAATGACTCGATCACAGCTGCAAAGCTCAGGCTTCTGCACATTCTCTCCCAAGCAGAGCTCCTAACTGAGGGACAGACTTTCAGCTAGGAGAAATGGGGAAGGACAGCTGCACTTCAAACTGCATTAAATCCCTCATACAGTGTCCAGTCATCCTCCCTCTGGTTAGAGCTGTCCATATTCCCACATTTAACCAGAGGGAGAATGGCTGGACACTTTATGAGGGGTTTGAAGTCCAGCAGTCCTTTCTCATCTCGCCTAACAGAAACTCTGTACCCCAATACAGAGCTCTGCCTGGGAGAGAATGTGCAATAGCCTGAGGTTTGCAGCTGTGATCGAGTGATCACAGTTGCAATGCTTTCCAGGATGGAATGCAAAAATGAAAAAAAATGCATACAGGTGAAACTCGAATAATTAGAATATCGTGCAAAGTTAATTTATTTCACTACTGCAACTTAAAAGGTGAAACTAATATATGAGATAGACTCATTACATGCAAAGCAAGATAGTTCAAGCCGTGATTTGTCATAATTGTGATGATTATGGCTTACAGCTCATGAAAACCCCAAGAACCCCAAATCCACAACCTCAAAAAATTAGAATATTACAAGCAATCAATAAAACAAGGATTGTACATAGAACAATATCGGACCTCTGAAAAGTACAAGCATGCATATGTACTCAGTACTTGGTTTGGGCCCCTTTTGCAGCACTTACTGCAATTACTTTTGCACAATATTCTAATTATTCGAGTTTCACCTGTATTTCTTTTATATTGTTATTTAAGCATTTCTTGAATTTTTGCACAAGGTAAACTTAGACTTTAAACAACATGCATAACAACATATTTATATAACACATTCATTAAATAGGCATTTCTTTAATTTTTGCACAAGGTAAACTTAGCCTTTTAAGAAAGATTCGTTAATAATGTAGTGTAATATTCAGCTAACGATAAGATGGTTAGATGTTTTGATCATAGCTAACAGTCATTCCAAAAAATTATTTTTGTTATAAGTTATGTTAAAGAGCAACTTTACCCATTTCTTCAAAATAACAACAAAGGAACCTATTTAAATGTTTAGTAATGACAATCTACGCATACTTCTAGATAATTGCCAGCATTTTATTTTTTACATACCTTATTTCTCTTAACTAAGGGCAGGTTACTAGGTCTCCCTTTACTTCTGGAAACTCTGGAACATGTGACTAGGACATGTGACTATGCACATAATCTCAGGGGAGAAAAATGCCTTTCCCTGAGATATGATTAGACCTCATGAGATTGCAGATTAGATTTCCCAGCAATGCTCTGCTGATGTAACCTTCCCAGGATAAAATGCTTGGGCACAATTACATAATTTGTGCCAAAGTGGGCCAGGTAGTGAAAAAAAAGAAAGTATATCTGTATATTATACATTACAAAATTTAATATACAGCCAGGTATGCAGAAATAAATATAACTGTTCCACACTATATGTATGCATTATGCACTACAGTGTTCGGGCCTTCACATGTGCTCAGCCTCATCCAAAGCAAAGCCTTTTGAGAAAAAGGATATTCTTTGCATAACAAAGGAGAAAAGCTCTATGCTACATATTCTGTCCTACGCTACAAATTCATTTGTAGGTTTAGATACGCTTTAAAGTTCAACTGAAATGTCAGTTTAAAATAGCTAAATATACACTCTGTTTCATTTATGAGTCTTAATTAGTTAAAAAAATATAAATTCAAAAACAAATACAATTGACCCAATATTATTATAGTTTTTCTTTAAATACAATTTCTGTGTCTTGGGCAGATGGAGGAATTTTTGCAATCTCCATTGTCATGAATTCCTCTTTTTTGTTTCTTTTCCAGCTGAGTAATTTGAAAAAGGTCACTTATGTTGATGTGTCAGCAAACAAATTCTCCTCTGTTCCAATTTGTGTCTTACGGATGTCAAATTTGCAGTGGTTGGACATCAGCAGTAATAACTTAAAGGATCTCCCAGAAGACATAGATAGGTAAATGCTTTTGTTGTATTTTTTTTGTCTTTAAACCCATTGGTAACAATAACAGGACTGTAATATCTTTGGTGGACTGTGAGTGATAACATAGCAATATAGTGAAATACCATAACAAATTCATGGATGGAGAACTGAAGGTTTCAAGCTATTAAGGTTATTTTTGGAGTGAATATTGTGTTTTTATTTATTTAATGTATGCATACAAGCTGCATGGAAAACAACTGGCATTGACATTTGCTGAGAAGTTCTTGTTTATTTTGGAGCAGCTTATTTACATGCAGACTGACCAGAAAAAAACAGCTATTATTTAAAGAGAACAATATTTTTATATATTGTAATTCAATGGCATTATTTTTTCAGTTTAGTCTACAGCTAGCTATAATTTTCTAAAACTGATATCTACTGAATAAAGTGACACTGTCGCTATCAAAACATGGTAAGAAAATAAAATGCTAAATAGCTTTCAAACAGGCAGTGCCTCTGATATTTGCTGTGGCTGAAGTATTTGAAGCTTTTTATTACTGAACACACTTCTGCATGTGTTAGATGCTTTAACCCCCCCATGCATGTTGTGGTTCCATCTGTCCACTCGTACATCACTACTGTGTCCTGTGCAAGACTTGGAAGAACACTTAGGCAGAGGCAAGTTTAGACTTCTAGTCAAAGCTGTTATTTGCATATTAAAGTGCCCCAGGTTTGGGGGGCTTTTGAAGCGCTCTAGAAGGTAAAGAGGAGATGTTCAGACAGCCTACTTACATTCTGATTTGAGTGCATATTTGAATAAATATTGGTCAATTTTAAGTACTTTTTTTTTTATTACCTGATTTAACAAATCTTAGATTTTATGCAATCATTTTTAAATATGGTGATTCATTTTATTTCTTCACAGATTAGAAGAGCTGGAGACTTTACTACTGCAGAAAAATAATATAGTCTACCTGCCATTCACATTGACCAACATCGCTAAATTGAAATTGCTGGTTGTCAGTGGTGAAAGCTTGGTTGAGATACCCTCTGCCCTTACTGAAAACCCTGCTCTGAAGTAAGTTGTATTTATGCAATGAGCATAAATAGCCGTGGTGTACATTTAAAATGTATTTTCTGCCAAATCTCACTTACTCTCCTACTGATGGTGTTTTACCAGACAGAAAGAGTGGGAATATCTGCAACAGAGACACAGAAATAAATATAAATCTGAGGGTAATTATGATTATTATTATTATTATTATTATTATTATTCATG